CAAAAGAAAGAAAAAGCTTTTATTATTCTTTATAAGAAAGATAAAGCTTTTATAATTAGACATTTTATCGTTAATAATTAAATAACTTTCTCAACCAATATCATAAAAGAAATTTAAAATTAACTGGATATATCCAATTGAGTGAATTAAGCCTCATTGTGAAATAAAATTTTCAGAAGTTTTCAAATAATTTTTAAAAATATTGACATGAAAACTGATAAATATTAATGATTGTTTCCTAAATTTGATAAAGTTTCTCAATTGACAGACTATTTGATTTTCCATTTAATAATGTTTTCCTTATGTTTTTTTTTTTTAATTTGTGAAGATCCTCAATCTTTTTAATTAAATTTATTATTATTTTATATTATTTGTTGAGAAACTGATCATTTAAATAGTAGTAGTGGCATGTTCTTTAGTCTCTAAATAAATTACGTGTTATTCACTTTTTAAAAGTATTAATTAATAGAGAAAATTGGAAAAAAATACACGTTGAACTTGGATTTGTCACAAGACTTCTACCATATATTTTTTTGGAAAATAGGATTTTTGTTTTTGGTTAATACCAAACTACCCTTCATTTATCAATTAATTGAATTAAAATTATATATTGTAATTTTCGTAATTGATTTTAAAGTTAAATAAAATCAACAAAACTTTAAAAAAATTAGAAAAAGAAAAACTTTAAAAAATAAGAAAAGGGAAAAAGAGGGGCCAATACCCTAATTTCTTTTCCTCATTCTCTTCTCTGTCGTAGAAGAAAGCCACTTTCATGACGATTTAAGGTTCGACTGAGAGAAGTCTAAATCTTTCTCGGAGGTTTCATCTTCCTGTTGTCTCGAATCTCGTCTTCGTCATCCTCCTCTTAGATTTCACTGAAGATACAATGAAATCTCGTCTTTGTCACCCTCCTGTTATCTTTTTTCATTACGAAGTGTTCTTCCAACAATTTCGTCTCAAATCTTCACACAAGGTATTCAGTTACTTCTATTGATTCTCATCTAAAACTTAATCGAATTGTTTTTCCCTTTTACACAGATTTTTTTAAAATCGATTTGTCTTGCTCTCATTAACATGTTGAACTAACAAGTTTTGAACTTGGATTTTAGATATATCGTTGGAGTTACCAAAGATGATTTTTAAGGAGGGCGAGGAGCCCCAAGTGACTCAGATCAATAACAACTGCATGATTGACTACATTATCCGAAAGTTCACTAAGTGGCTGCCAAAGGAGTTGGAAGCTGTGAAAAAAGATACGGTTTTTTCTCAGATTTTTAAGCTGCATGAGAATGGTCTTGGGTTCTCCGCGAGAGTTGTACACAGCTTCTTGTGTAGGGAGCCGCTGACTTACAAAATGCACGAGCTTTTGTTCGTCTTTGCGAGGAGACCACTTCGATTTTCATTACAAGAATTTCATGCAGTAACCGGGTTTGAGTGCAATACTTATATCTCTTTTAAGGAGTTTGAAGACTGGAAATATGATGGTGGTTTCTGGAGCAATGTGTTGAGGAGAAGAGATGGATCAATTACACTCTTCAACCTGTGGAATAAGGACAAGGAAGCTGTTAAGAAGTGGAAGAATGCAGATCTCGTACGACTGATCTATCTGGCCATCATTCTTTGTGTGGTTTTAGCGAGAGATGAGAAGGCTAATATCCCCCTCAAATACAACAAGGTGGTCATGGATCTTGAGAAGGTTCGCAAGTATCCTTGGGGAGTTGCGGCCTATGATCTTCTCCGCAACTCAATAGCCAAAAATCGTGACAAGCTGAAGGATAAGACTACTAGTTATGTCTTGGATGGTTTCTCTTACGCCTTGCAGATTTGGGCAATGGAAGCTGTACCAAAGTTGGGAAGCTTTGTGGAAAAAAACTTAACAAAAGTTTCACAAACGATCCTAGATGCATAAACTGGATGGGAGCTGCAAAGGTGTCATATGATGAGATCAATCGGTTGGAGCAAATCCTGACACCCGAGGTAATCTCTAATCTTTATGTAAGTTGAGTCCATCTAGTTTTGTATGAGTTTTTTAGGATCTAAGTTTCTGTAAATTTCTTGTGTAGGATGACATCTATCCATATATCGACTGGAGAGGAAATTATGATATAGTCCAAGCTCATGTATTTAGCAGAGGTGATGATGTGGAGGATGAGAGAATCGAGAATCTGATGGAGTTGATAAGAACAAAACCTGATTTTAGTGACCATTTTTGGGGTATTAAAGAAACACCAGAGGATGAATCGGCTGTGAATGATGACTCGGCTGTGAATGATGACTCAGCTGTTAATGATGAAGCCGCTGAGAGTGATGAAGACTACCATACTCCAAAAGGATCAAAGAACCTAGGCGCTACATCAAGCAGGGGTAAGAAGAGACTTCCAGATCGTGGTATGGAGAAAAGGAAGCATAAGATTCTCTCTACTGGACCAAAGCAAGCGCCTTTTAATGAATACATGAAGGCTTTTCTGACACAGTTGTTTGTGCAGGGTTTCTCTGGAATGGAACAGAGGCTTCAAAAACAGATGGCTGAGACATTTGAGAAAACGAAAACAGAGCTTGAAGATTCACGGAAGGAACCAAGCGTTGAAGTTGAGCCTGGAGAGTCTTCACCGAAGAAGTCTTCACCAAAGAAGCCTTCACCGAAGAAGCCTTCACCTACCAAACCTTCGACGAGCCAACCACCGTTGAGGAGGTCCACACGCGAGGTAAAAAAAGACTTGTCTTCACCACTCTCTTAAATGTTATTTTGTCTTGTTTATTGGGTGGTTTGCGTGTCTGTTTTTCTTACTATCATCTATGATATTGGTCTGAATTTGGTGGTGTTTTATAAGGTCTCGGTTTGTAATTGTGCTTGGTGTGTTAGTGTCCTTGGTTTGTAAGCGTGTTGTTCGAAACTTATGTGAAATGTTGGTGTATAAAATATTAGAATTATTTATTAAATGTTCATGTAATGGACTTGTTTATTATGTTGTTAATTGATTATTTATCATGACATAGCAGGAAGAATCTCATAGTTCCTTTGATGTGAATTTTAGTGAAGCAGATGATATCCCAGAGTTCATAGGTACGCAAGGCGTTGAAAGGCTTTCTCAGACCTCGTATGTGCCCGGCTTTGATCCATCTCAGACCAATAAGGGAGAGGAATGGTGGACTCCAAGGACTTCAGTCCGAGATTCAAAAGCTCTACTACCGTCACAGTGGCAGAAATGGAATAAAGGAAAATGACTTCAGCTTACTAATTCACCATTGCGCACAGATGGTTCTCCGCAGTCGTCACTATATTATTGCTCTAAAGAATCATGGATAGGATTCACGGAATGGGTTAAGAAACCAAAACCTTTACGACTTGGTCCGTCAATCTTAAATTTGACTATAGCTTCAAGGATAGTAAGTCTAGGAAAATGGCTTGGCAACGAGGTAATGTTTTATTGTACTAATTTATTTATCTTTTGTAAAACAACTTATTTCATTATGAATATTCAGGAAATGGATGCATTTATGTTTATATGGCGAGTCAACACAAATTTGAAGCGTTGGGCCCTGAGCCGTGTTGTTTTCATGAGTGCTATGTTCTGCCTCCAAATCGATGCTGCATACAACAAGTTCTTTCGTAACAAAAAAGCCTATGAATTGTCTGAGTTTCTTCTTGGGTACGGCAGAGGAGAACTTCCATCTCATGGGCGGACGACTGATCAAGTTTGGGGTGTGGATGTTGATCGTCTCTACTTTCCTTTGTTTGTAAATGGTAATCATTCTCTCCTCCTCACGTCTAAGATTTCAGCTCAATTTCGTTTACAAAATTATTATTGTCTATTGCAGGTAATCACTGGGTTGGTGTCTGCATCAACATTATTGAGAAAAAGGTGGAAGTGTTAGATAGTGGTCGGGCAAAAAATACACAACACGTGGAGAAGTATGCTGCTCTGATTCCTAGGATAGTGAAGGCCGTTGCATCACCTGAAAGACAGAAGCAGCTACTCCTGGCATCTTATTCTATCGTGGATGTTCCTATGAAGACGAGATTGAACAAGTTTTGTTGTGATTGCGGTGCATACGCACTCAAGCACTTGAAATGCCATGTGCTTGGTATCGACCTGAGTTTAGTTTATGATGAAATAATCATGGGTTGCAGACAGAAGATTGGTGTCGATTTATGGGAGGCTGCACACGATCCCATTTACGCTGAGGCAATGACACGATATGTGCCTTCACCATGGGAGAGAGAAGAGTCCTTTGAACTCGAAGATTGAATGTGTCTAACTATGTGGAAAACTCTAGCTTATGTTTGGATGGAAATTTGTGACAACTCTAGCTTATGTTTGGATGGAAATTTGTGACAACTCTAGCTTTGGATTTTTTAGGAATTATGTGACAATTATATCTATGTTTTTTAAGGATTTTTAGTTCCTCTAATTTGATTTCCTGCAAAGTATAGTGTACTACATGATCATAATTCATAAAACCCTAAACCCTAAATATACCCTAAACCCTAAACAAACCTTAGACCGTAAACAAACCCTAAACAATTATATCTAGGTTTTTGAAGGATTTTTAGTTCCTCTAATTTGATTTTCTGCAAAGTATAGTGTACTACATGATCATAATTCATAAAACTTAAACATACCCTAAATCCATAACCTCAACTATACCCTAAACCCTTAACTATAATCAAAGTCGAAAGTCTATGCACAAATGACATCTACTTATGCACTAGTAATGTAAATTGGTCACTAATTATCAATTGATCAATTCTCAGGCTACTTTCTCTGCTCCATGTTTTGAAACAAATTTAGAGTATTCAAAGACAAAGTACATACGTTTGTAATAGGTTGAAGCCGTCTATTTTAGTGATTTTTTCTGATCTCCTTTTGGTAGAATACACGTTATAGAAGTATCAAACGACGTCGTTTAGGTAATTATTTTGACCTACTCCCTTTTCTTCCTCATTCTTCCTCGACAGAGAGATTTACAGCGGCGAAAATTTGGAGATCGACTCAACCATGTCTTCGGTCAATTCTTCATCAACTCCAACAGATCGACTCGCCAAACAACGCGGAATTTCCACGAGATGCAATTGCGGTCAGGCAGTGTCTCGTTTCACTTCAAAAACGGTTAAAAATCTAGGAAGATTATTTCATTGTTGTCCGATGGGATCTGACAAGGTTAGTCTTATAATCATGTAACTTTGCTTTGTTTCAATCTAACTGTTTATTGAATGTTAATGATGAAGGAAAAAATCCACTTGCTCAAATGGACTGATAAGTCAGTTGTTGAGGAAATTGAAGACTTCCAGGACTTGTTTGACGTGCTGCTTGTCGACAATATTGAGATTCAGAAATCAGTGAGAGGTGGTGAGGCCATGATGAAAGGCCATGAGAGTAGAATTAAAGAGACGGAAGATGCAATTGCACATTGTGAAGAGAAGATCACAAAATGCATTAAAGAATTAAGGATCATAAAATCTTTGTTTGTGTGTTGTTTGGTGATGGTGTTCATGTACATTGCCTGATGTTCATGTGCTGCCTCAAATATTTATTTTTCAAACAAGTTTAAGACTATGTTTCTTGTTATTTCTTGATGATTATCATCTACTAGAACCAATAATTTTCCAAATACCATATTGTCACAAACATTGATCGATTAGTCTCAAGAGTTTAGCAAATACCAATTATTCAAATAAGTTCTTAAGTAGAAGATCACTATGACTCAAGATCAACAAGAAACAAAACAGAGATATAATAACACACAAAACAAACTAGATGGGTAAATCGCATGTTCCTCTCTTGTGTCCTTGGGTACCACAACGACTACACTTGTGTTTTTTATTCTTTGTTGATCTCTGAGAAGATTTTATCTTGTCTTCTACTGATTCATACCTTCTCTTTATTGGTCGGCCAGAACTCTTTCTTGTCTTTGGTGGTAAAACCTTAGCAAGTTTAACCTCAGCGGGGATATTCCATTCAGACTCTAGAACTGCTATTGGATTAATGCATTCCTCATAGGCGGTTCTCCACGCTGCAGTGGTGTATAAGTCATCAGTAAATCTGTGCACTTCCAGGCCTGTGTCAAAATAATGTGATTGATTAGAGTCACTATGCTTAATTACCAAAAATGAATAGGTCCCAAGTTCATGTGTTTATACTTCCATACCTTGTGAATAAATTGCAAGAATGGTGTGTCGGCAAGGAATTTTTCCTATATCATAATTCCCACATGTGCATGTTCTTTTTTCCAAATCAACAAAACAATCATATATGTCTCCTTTCACAAGTGATTTGAAGTCGTCAACCTTGTGAATTTGAAACCCTTTTGCCTTCACAATTCTCCTATCAATCTTTTTCTCCACCTTAGTGGTTAAAGGATCAAGATGCTTGAAGCTTACCAAGTGACGCTCATAGAACCATTGAGTCAACAGTTCTCTTATACTATCTAGCAAAGGAATAACCAGATATTCTCTAGGTATTCTCAGTACTGAATTTATCGACTCTGCATGGTCTGTGGTCCTAATGTCATACATTTTACCAGGGAAGAGAGAACGAGCCAATTTGCGCATATCAGCCTCCTATAGATATCTTCCAAGGTCAGGACTCATATCAAAAATATCGGTGATACGTTCCTCAAATTCAGTGTACCTATATGCCCGTGAAGCCTTTTCAACCAAGGCAGTGAACCCTTTTGTCTTGAAAAATGCAACCACATTGGTCAACAGGTGATGAATGCAAATTCCATATGTTGATCGAGGGTAGACAGTCTCAATCGCTTTAGCAATAGACGCATTTCTATCTGAGACAAAAGCTAAGTCTTGATAATCAACAATAACCACTTTCAACTGTCTGAAGAACCAACCCCATGAATCGTCATTCTCTGAATCAACAACTCCAAATGCAATTGGATACAAATTAGAGTTACCATCTACAGCAGTAGCAACATGTAGAACTCATCTGTATTTATTTTTCAGAAAAGTTCCATCAACAACAATCACCCTTCGCATTGCATTGTAGAATCCGCTAACTGATTGGCCAAACGCATAAATAGATACATGAATCTCCCCTTCTCATTAAATTCATAGTGAGTATGCGTCCCAGGATTAGCTTCTTTAAGCATGTGCAAATACGATGGTATTTTAGCGTAACTGCAATCTGGTATACCTCTAGAAGCTGCTATAGCAAACTCACGAGCTTCCCAAACGTGCCAATAATTAATCTCACAACTATGCTCCAATCTCATAAAGTGAATGATGTCATTTGCTTTTGGGCCATCGTTGGCATCACCATATCGATGTTGTATTAGACTCCCAATTGTTCTTGCCGATGCTGTTTTTCCGAATTTTCTTTTCTTTGAAGGAACACATGTATGTCTTTCCTCGCACTGGTTGATCATGAAATATGTAGACCCGTCCACACCTTCTACACGCACAGTCCAGTTGCATAATGCATCCTTACATCGGCAATACCACCATTTTCTCGTGGATTTGAGAACAGTGTAATCGAAATGATTCTTCATAGCCAAAATTTCCATTGTTGCCTTCAGAACCTCTTTACTTCTGAAAAGTTGATTCTTCTTCACGAAATCTCCTCTCCAAGATCGACCATCCTTTTCACTATCTCCATTATTTCGAGAATTTCCAATGTTTTCACTTCTTAAACCATCATTAGCGCAACCTGCTGCATCGACATTATCCTTCCTTCTATCACAAGACTCCTTTGACGGCTTCACAAACTCTGCTCAATTCTTCTCATGAACTTCTTCATCCTCAACATTACTTGAATCACACGGCTCCTTATTCAAATCGATATTGACTCGTTCTTTTTGGTTAACACCAGAACCAGAGAACATGACACACAAAGTAGTAGATGAATCCTTCTTTGCATACGCCACAAAATTAGATGATTGTCGATCATTGGTGATAATAATTGGAGGATTCCCTCTTTGATTCACCATCGAATAACTGAACTCACATTCACAATAGTATGGTCCACCCCATAATCCTCACACACGATCCTCTTGACCTTCTCCAAAGGAGTAGTAGTTTCTAATGTTAACATTCGACCACGCCTTGCTTTGTCTACCACGAAACTCCACTCTTCACTGCAACTAGACACCCATTCACCAGATTTAACATAGAATAGAATCATGATGTATTGATAGAGAGAAGAGATGATTGTGTGGATGAAGAAGAGAGAAACACAAAATAAGAGAAAAAGATCGTGGGAGGAGGAGAAGAACGTGAAATTCGGAGAAAATATTCTTCGCTAGATTTAGGTTAGATTTAGTTTAGATTTAGGAAACTTCTATAACCGAATATGGAAGTTTCCATATTTTCAGGATTTGCCTAGAATATGTATACTACCTACACAGAACACAGTATAGGAGGTATGAAACATATTAGTCCTAGAGGCGTCATATAAGGTAAACGGCAGAACATGTTTTGGCACGTAATGTAGCCGCGCTATATCATTGAGTTGTGGCTATATCTCGTTTTCAAGCTCTTGGTAGAACAAAGATATCTTTCTAGATTGTAACGTAACGTATTCTATCTTTGTCAGAATATATATACAAGAAAGGTTATATTACGGTATATATCTTTGTCGGAATATACAAGAAGGTTAGATTACGGTATATATCTTTGATATATCTATGTTTATCACTTAGAATCTGATTTATAAACTAACTAGATTACCAGATGAGTATTCTAATTGTGGCTAGAAGATTAAATAAAATATGTTCCCAATTTTTTATTTTATTTAAACATATATAATATCATATTTAAGTTTAGAATAGTTTTCATATTTTTTTTACATTTATAAAATTTAGTTTACTATTTTCCGTTAAAGAAGAGTAAAACATATCCATAAAAGGTCAAAAATATGAAAAATCCTATTTTCACAAACAAAATTTCAAAATGTCCCATTTTTCCAATTCTCCCTAATTAATATATTGTCCAGATTTCATATAAGGCTAACGTAACCCATCCTTATGTGACGTTTACTCGATAAAAAATCCCCTTATGAAAGGTGATAGTCAACATTCCATTTTTTTGTCTTTGAGTTAACAAACTGATTTACCACTAAAGATGAAACTCTCGACCTAGTTGGTGGTTGTGAAACAAAATGAAGTTTGACAATCTTATTTGCTTATTTTCTTGGTATACGTATTCAATTTGAGTTATTTCCATAATGCTTTAGAACTTGGAGGGTGAAATAACTAGTGGGAGACAAAAAGGAAGTGGGCGTGACCTAGAGTTGGATCAATGGTGTATTGGTGTATATGATTAGTTAGGCAAGCTCTTAATCAAATCACTGCATAATTAAATTATTTGAAATTACGTGATTCAGTTGGAAAATCGTGACTTATTTCTAAAAATAAAAGAGATTTTACAAAAGTTTTAAAGGAAATCATACAGTGACAACAAAATAAAGTGAGAAAGATGTCGAATCATATATCAACAATGATCCGTGGGACCCTTCCTATTTGTATGTACGGCTCACATATTTTCATGGTTATGGTTTATTATTAATAATATCCTCTCAAACTAACTTCATATAATATTATCTACATATACTGATTATTTTTATCACGAAGATTTTGTTTAAAAATATAAACTGGGAAAATAGAAATAAAAGATATCATGTTTATTTACGTTAAATACAAATTTTGAGAAAAAAAAAAGATTTTACTAAAATGATTTGTAGGTATCGAGTAATTAAAGACCTCCAAGCTACAGTCAAGTCTAGTCCAGAGGACAAACGATTCAAGCGGTCGTTTGGGACATCCAATTTTAAAAAGGCACATTTTTCTAATTTTTTATATTAAAATTTTTATTAGTATTTATATTTAAACAGAATTTATAATTTTAATAATGATATTTTTAAAAAAGTTTAGCATTATTATAAAAAATTAATAAATTTCTTAAGTAATTGTATAGAAAAATAATTACATTTTAGATAAGTGATTCTGCATTAACAAATAATTTTAGTAAAATTATGATGAATGTAATCTAATGTTATGATAATATTTAAAAGTATTATTATATAGTTAATCTTATGAAATAATTTTACTTCTCATCAATAAAATTAATAACGTGAAAAGGTCATGAATGTATGATTTGATTATATATCTTTATATTTTTTGTCAGTTTCTGTTTTTTTTTTTTGAAGTTTTCAAACAAATGAAGAATTGATTGTAAACATATATTGAATGAATAAATTTTACTTTAAAAATAATTTTGAAACAGTTTATAAATTTTTAATGTAGTTTATATACTAAACACACATATGATGCTATAGATAAAAACATATAAATATATATTAAAGTTTTGCTTAGGGCATCCAAAATATTGGACCGGCACTGGCCGGATCATCCAGTTCGCTCCAAGAGATACCTTGAGCTCTTTTCTATTTGTTGGTTTTCTTCAAGGGCTACTTGGGTTCTAAACCTAATTCACGTACCAAGTTTCCTAATTCTATTAATTAAAAGATAGTTGCAACTGCAATGTTGTGAGAAAGATAA